CAAGACTCGCATCTGCGTCTATGAGAGAGTATGGCTCAGCGCCAGTAGCCATACTGTTGAGAGACTCTACGTGGGAGACGCAGCAAGACTGCTACCGAGCGTCTCTCGGCGAGAGGCTCCGCGTCTCTTACGCATCTCAATAATTAATTAATCACTAATAACTCCTTCAATTTCATTATTGGAAAATAATTGAAAATATTAATGTAGTTAATTCACAAATTGAACAATTATAAAACAAAAAAAAAAGAAATCGGTTCAGCGGTTCTCCAGATGTTCCCTCCCGGTCGATCCGCCGTGTTCCCTTTCGGTCACCCATCCTTTTACTAACCCAACTCGCTACTGCTTAGCTTCAGTGATCGCAGGTTACCCCGGTATCTTCTGCGCTATACAGCTGCCTGTCGCGAGTGAATTTTTTTTCGCTTGATATGCGCAATTATTGAGAGGGAGGAGATAGGGGAAGCATTAACGAAGGTGAACAGTGGGGTAATATGGGATAACGGAGAGGGGCGCATGATAAGGGAAACTGGAATTAAATGGGGCAAAATGGGATACTGGGGTGGAGTGAACCAACTGGACAGCGGGGTAAAATGGAAAGCAGTTGTGCCATTTACTCGTGGGGTAAAACGGGAAAGCAGGTTAGTTAGAGTGGGGCAAAATGGGATAGCAGTTGAATAAACCCATAAAGTAAGCCGGAACGGTGAGTGTGGGAGACGTTATCCCATTTTACCCCACTTCGACAGTGGGATAAAATGGGATAACGGGGTGACTCGGAGTAGGGGTTGAATCCGAAAGCGAATTAATTTAATTTTTCAATTTTTGTACTTTTTCAATTAACTGAGGAGATCCCTGCTGATTGGTCAAGAGCAATTCTAACAATGATATATAAAAAAGGAGATCCACAGGAGCCCGGAAACTACCGAGGTATTGCCCTGGTGAACCACATAACGAAAATTTTCACTATAATTTAAGCTTCAAGGTTGAAGCATTGGATGGAAGAGTGCGGTATAATCCCCGAAGGTCAAGCAGGCTTTAGGAGCCATAGAGGCTGTTTAGATAATGTATACGTTCTCCAGGAAGCCATTCATTCGAAACTCAGAAAGGAGAAAGGTTTTCTGTTTGCGACCTTCGTGGATTATAAGCGGGCTTTTGACTCCATTAACCATGGAAAATTATGGGTAAAACTTGTGCAACTGGGAGTCAGTGCCAAAATGATAAGGATAATCAAAAATTTGTATGATAAGGCAGTCTTGAGAGTTAGAACGGAGGAGGGTATGACGGATGATATTCAAATTACGGAAGGGGTCTTGCAGGGGGAAATCTTAAGCCCACTGTTGTTTATCCTTTATATTTCCGATATTGAAGATTTTTTCCGCAGTAGAGACTTGTACGGGATTGATATAAACAACAAAGTGGATGTCATGATCCTTTTATGCGCAGATGACCTTGTTATTTTGGCACGTAACAAAGCGGATGTTGGAGCAAAGCTGAAAGCCTTGAGACAATATTGTTTAGATAACGATCTTACAGTAAATGAAAATAAAACGAAAATTCTTTATTGTCGTAGACGGGGGAGACGCCCAAAAGATCTGAAATTCCTTTATGGGGATGTGGAATTAGAAATTGTTAATTCTTATGTCTATCTAGGCATCACTTTCAGCTCGTCTGGACTGGGCAGATTGGCCACCACCGAGGCGATAAAGAAAACTACATTAGCCTCAGGCGCAGTGCAAAATCTGATTTACAGGGCAAAAATTAACAATTTAAATTCGATCAACACGCTATTTGACAGCCTGATATCCTCGGTGGCACTGTATGCCTGTACAGTGTGGGATCTTAGGTATATAGATGAAATTGAAGTATTACAAGTGAGGTTTTATAAGTCTATTTTGAATATTAATAAATCCACGGCCCAAGCAGTAGTTTATTCGGAAGTGGAAAGATCTCCCCTGGCAATAAAAATTTGGAAAATTACTTGGAATTGGATTGTAAAAATTCTTCGTATGCCAGAGCACCGCCTGCCCTTGGTCTGTTTCAAGACTCAAGTAAATTTTTTTAACAGAGGGAACATCTCGATGCAATATAACTGGGCTGCCCAATTATTCGATTTTATAGACTCTATTGATGCAGAACTAGGACTTAGATTAAGAGACTCTCTCGACTGGAGAGAGTGGCTCAGGGCTGGCGATGTTCTCCTTGAATTGTATGGAAGGAAGTTGAATGAGGAGAAAGTCATGTTTGTCAACAACGCACACTATTTACAATCTGAAATTGTAGGTGAAGAGGAAAGAAAAGATTATTTGCACCAGCAGGTGCCATGGTTAATGAAAAAAACGATAGCGCAACTGAGACTAACCAATAAGTATGTCACTAGCTTGTATGTAAACAACAACGCCTACAAATTTGATCCTAGCCTAAACTGCCCAATTTGAAATGATGACGATTTCGACACCATAGAACATTTCTTACTAAAATGTAATACTTTAAATAATGAAAGAATTAAACTCATCAAATGTATACAAAACAATGGTCGGTCTTTTCTCGAGCCAACACTGTTAGAGCTTTATGATATTCTAGCACCCGAAAAGAAATCTCATGTAAAGGCTATATTTTACTACGTTGTCAATAGTTGTATGTTGCGCGTTCGCAAAATAGAAGAGTTAAGTTTAGATTACTCGTACGTTTTCTGTGAAAATAAAGATTGTTAACTCCCACCCCCCAGGGAGACATATTATATAAAAGATTTTGTATCTTTAGATCAATAAACACTTCTCTGTACTTTTTCAATTTACTTTTCTAATTTTTTTATTTATGTTGGGTAAATTGAATGATGGACTGAAATTAGATGGTCGAGTGTAGAATTGAATTTCCGAGTAAACAGAACGAGAATGCTATTCACTGCTCAGATTGTGGGGTAAAATGGGGTGAACTAAATGACAGGCTAATTAGCTGGAGGGGTAAATTGGGCGGCAGGTAAATTAAATACGGGTGTTTAGGGGGATGATCGGGTAAAATCGATAGCCGGGTAAAATGGGTGAGTCTGGCTAATATGAGGGTGGGGTAAAACGGGACGGTGGGGTACAATGAAACAGCCTGGCAAATTGAACGATAGTCAAATTTGACCGGCGACGAAATAGGACAACAAGGTGAATTATATTTCGCCGTCTCGTCCTCCAGATCAAATGAGTAGTCACGTTCCCACCATGTGGTCCATCACAGAAAGTCCCTAAAAAATCCCCCAGGAAAAAAGTTCCCCTATGGTGCTCGTGTATCCCTCCGCCGGACGCCATCTCAACGTCATTACGTTTTTCTGTGCGGTCCAAAACAGTAGTTTGTCCCACACATTATTCGTTTTTTACCAAGTTTTTTATATTATTCACCTTTTTACCCAGTTCTGTTTTTTCCCCACTTCAACGATGAGTTCACGGCATAAGAAGAGGCACAGGAGTGTCGATTCAGATGATGAAATCCTTGCAAAACTGAGGCGTTTGACGAAGGAGGTTAAAATGTCTCGGGCTAAGCCCAAAGAGCCTCAGAGGACAGGTACGGACAAGTGGTACCGCTCTGACAGAGCTAGATCGAGGGAAAAATCTCGTTCAAAGCAACTCGAGCGCAGATCGTCTCGACACGGACATTCCAGCAACAGGCGTCTTGCGTCAAGATATGAGAGAGAGAACAGCTTGTCGTTCATCATCATCGTCTTCAGTTTCGGTAAGCTCATCTCCAGCACCTAAAAACCGACGTCACCCTCGAGAACCAACAATGGATGGCTCCCGGACATCCTCGGAGAGGAGTTGGTCCTCTTCATCGAGATCGAGTTCGCCTGGGGGTACTGTGGGCATCGGAGATAAGCAGTGTTCGAAAGAAAATCTTCCTCCCCAAGCACTGGAATGTCTCGGTGAGATTTCTACGAAAGAGGGAATGAAAGGCCCATCCATTCATTCTGCGGTTGCAGAGAGATGGAGAAAAATTTTGTCAGAGGGTATTTCCAAAGAGGATCGCGCTGAACTCATCAAGAAATATCCTCCATCAGAAAATTGTGCTGGGTTAAAAGCACCGACCTTGAATGTGGAGATTAAGTCAGCCTTGAAATCTCCAACGATTCGTAAAGATTATAGTCAGTCGATATCTCAGAATCAGCTCGGGGCTGCATTAGCAGCGGTCGGTAATGGAATTTCCCTGCTTATCAAGGCTAAGGAGGATGACAAGGAGAATGAAGATTGGTCAGATGATTTTAAAGAGCTTGTCACCGGTTTGAGTGATGCGGGAAAGATTCTTGCCGATTTACATTTTTATATGTCTCTATCTCGACGTGGTAATGTCACAAGCCAGCTAAGTCCAATTGTGAAACGTGCAGCAGAGGATAGTAAGGTGGATTTATTTCTTTTTGGGTCTGATTTCGCTGAAAAATTAAAATCAGCTCAGGCTGTGGAACGATCTTCAAAATCTATGATCAAGCCATCAAAACCGAAGGCATATGTACCGCTGAAACAAAAACAGGACCAGGAACCAGAACGTCAAGCTTCAAGATCTTCGTACAAGGATTTAAACTTCAACCCCCCCTCGGGGAGGAGCTCGTCGAAGAACAGTTCGAGCTACAGGAACCCACGCCGAGGGGGGCACAGATCGAGGACCAGCCAATACCAGCAGCACCGTTAGAAGTGAGTATGCCTTGTGGACGTTTGCGTCATTTCCTGGATCGATGGAAGATGATCACTTCAGACCAGTATATACTTTCGTCAGTCTCTGGCTATGAGATTTCCTTCGTTGTCAGACCTTTTCAGAGGCGGCCCCCAGTCGAACCAACCCTTTCTTCTGAGGATGAGGTGATTTTGTCTAAATTAATTATGGAATTGATTGGAAAAGGGGCGATATCCCCGTGTGACTATCGTAAGGGCCAGTTCTTGTCGTCTTATTTTTTGATAGATAAAGCGAATGGCGATAAAAGATTTATTCTAAACCTTAAAAAATTAAATCGATTCATCAACACCCCTCATTTTAAAATGGAAAATTTGAAAGATGCTATCAGACTACTCAGGAGAGGGAGCTATTTGGCAACGCTGGACCTCAAAGACGCATATTTCTTGGTACCTATTCACCCAGATTCCAAAAAATTTCTTCGTTTCTCCTATAATGGTCAACTTTATGAATTCAATTGTCTTCCCTTTGGGCTCAATGCAGCCCCTTATGTTTTCACCAAGCTCCTAAAACCGGTAGCTCACAGGTTCAGATCTCAGGGCATTCTATCAGTTTTTTATCTCGACGACATCCTACTTATGGGTCAATCCGCCCACCAGTGTCAGAAAAATCTTGAAGTGGCTTGTAAAATCTTGACATCCTTAGGGCTTATATTAAATATTCCGAAGTGTCAACTATCTCCGAAGACATCACTCAAGTTTCTCGGTTTTATTATTGATTCAGAGAAGTTTACGATAGAACTTCCGGACCAGAAGCGAAGGTTGATAATTGATCTCGTAAATAAATTTCTGAAGACATCATCTTGTCGGATTCGAGAGCTCGCAAAATTCATAGGCACACTGGTCTCCGCGTGTCAAGCAGTTGAGTATGGTCCTGTTTATGTAAAGGTTTTAGAGAGAGAAAAATTGAAAGCTCTCCGGAGGGTTGACAAAGACTATTCTAGGAGGATGATTCTATCAGATAAGATCAAGCCGGATTTACTTTGGTGGCTCGAGGTTATTCCTAGATGTAGTCGGCTCATCAGGAATTCACTTTTTTCTCTTGAAATCTTCAGTGACGCGTCGCTTACAGGTTGGGGTGCATTCTGTGAGGGGGAGAGTACCGGTGGATGGTGGTCTGATGCTGAGAAGCAACTTCACATCAATATTCTCGAACTTAAAGCAGCCCTTCTAGGCTTGAAGTGCTTTGCATCCTCTCTCACTTCCTGTCAGATTCTTCTACGTATAGACAATACAACCGCCATTGCTACAATCAACAAGATGGGTAGTGTTCAGTTCAATAAACTTAATACAGAATCGCGAAGACTATGGCAATGGTGCGAGGAGAGGAGTCTGTGGGTATTTGCATCTTACATTCAGTCCAAGGAAAATTTTGAGGCTGATGCAGAGTCGAGGAAACTACCCACTGACACGGAATGGGAATTAGCGAGCTGGGCATTCTCTAGAATCAATAATAGTTTTGGCCCTTTTGAGGTGGATCTTTTTGCATCATATCTAAATCACAAATGTGAGAACTATGCAGCCTGGAGGAGAGATCCGGGTGCGATGGTAATAGATGCCTTTACCATTAGTTGGTCGGATATTTACTTCTATGCATTCCCACCCTTTAGTGTTATCTCAAGGGTGCTTCAGAAAATTTTAGATGATGAAGCTGAAGGAGTCATTGTCGTTCCATACTGGTCAACTCAGTGCTGGTTTCCATTGATCCAGATGATGAAGACATCTGATCCAGTAATTTTTTCGCCTAATGAGGAATTATTACTATCTCCTTTCAGGAAGAGTCATCCCCTCCAGAGAACCCTTACCCTGGCCGCGATCAGATTGTCCGGCAAGCCTACATGAGCAGAGGAACACCAGAGGTGGCAATTCCAGTGGTTATGGCTTCTATTTCAAGTGGCACGCTCAAACAGTATGATTCGGCCTGGAAATCTTGGTGGCTTTTTTGCCAAATCAATAAATTGGATTTCTTTGAGTTTTCAACTCATCAGATTCTACGTTTCCTTACCGAAGAAAGCGAAAAAGTCAACTCTTACTCGTCTTTGAATACTTATAGATCTGCTCTAGCGTTTCTGGCGGATGTGTCATTGGGTGAAGACCCTTTAATTCAACGTTTTTTCAAGGGACTCAGTGTCTTAAGACCATCGCAGCCCAAGTATGATTACACTTGGAATCCTAAGTCAGTCCTATTGTCTATTGAAAAATGGCCTGACAATTCAGAATTATCTCTAAAGCAACTATCTAAGAAGCTAATTACATTGTTAGCACTAACAACTGCTCATCGGATCCAGTCTCTGTCCACGATCAAGATTGATAATATTGACACACAGAATGACATTGTTCACATCAAAATACCTGATAGAATCAAGACATCTGCAAGAATTCGCCCAAATCCATTGATTGAATTGCCTGTTTTTCGAGCTCAGCCGTCGTTATGTGTGGTATCTACGTTAAGGGCATACATGGATAGAACTAAGATGCTTCGTTCATCATCGGATCTATTTATTTCTACCAGAAAACCCCACGAGCCAGCGTCAAAACAAACGATCAGCAACTGGTTAAAAGAAGCTCTAGCAGAGTGTAACATTGACACTAAGGTCTTCACAGCACATAGCACTCGTCATGCATCGACCTCTTTGGCTGCTTTGAAGGGTATAAACATAGAGACTATCGGAAAGACTGCAGGTTGGACTGCTGAATCTTCAGTTTTTGCTCGTTTTTACAATCGTCCAATTCTCGAATCTGAGAGTTTCGCTAGAGCTATAATTGAGTCAGCTCATGATTAATGTTTTTTCATTATTACTTTTTTCAAGCTTTATTTGTTCTAAATATTTCCAACTCTATAATTAAGGCAATTTCAGGAACCAAAGTGTACTTAAGAAATAGCTTTATTCAGTAAAAACTGTTTGTATGGAGAAATATATTATGTTACATGGAAAATCGCATTGATTCTCTGAATATCTACTCATTTGATCTGGAGGACGAGACGGCGAAATATAATTGAATGATTGAACGAACTTACCTAAGTGAAGTTCAATCGAAATTATGTGAGCCGTCTCGTCCGAACAGATCAAAACCCATCCCTCTTTGATAAACCCGCCCTTTGCGATTTGTCCATTAGTTTTGGGAATAATGACGTTGAGATGGCGTCCGGCGGAGGGATACACGAGCACCATAGGGGAACTTTTTTCCTGGGGGATTTTTTAGGGACTTTCTGTGATGGACCACATGGTGGGAACGTGACTACTCATTTGATCTGTTCGGACGAGACGGCTCACATAATTTCGATTGAACTTCACTTAGGTAAGTTCGTTCAATCATTCAATTATC